CCCGGTGCGGGGCACGGCAGAGAGAAGGCCCGATGGGGGCACAGGCGAGAGAAGGCCCGGTGGGGGGCACAGCAGAGAGAAGGCCTGCCTGCCCATGGGCCCAGCTGAGAGAAGGCCCGGTGCAGGGCACAGCCGAGAAAAGGCCCGATGAGGGGCACAGGCGAGAGAAGGCCCGGTGTGGGGCACAGCCGAGAGAAGGCCTGCCTGCCTGTTGGCCCAGCTAAGAGAAGGCCCGGTGCGGGGCACAGCCGAGAGAAGGCCTGCCTGCCCATGGGCCAGCTGAGAGAAGGCCCAGTGGGGGGCACAGTGGAGAGAAGGCCTGGTGGGGGGCATAGCGGAGAGAAGGCCCAGTGGGGGGCACAGCTGAGAGAAGGCCTGCCTGCCCGTGGGCCCAGCTGAGAGAAGGCCCGGTGGGGGGCACAGCCAAGAGAAGGCCTGCCTGCCCGTGGGCCCAGCTGAGAGAAGGCCCGGTGGGGGGCCCAGCTGAGAGAAGGCCTGCCTGCCCGTGGGCCCAGCTGAGCAGCAGCTGAGAGCTGTCCTGCTTAGAAGCTGTCCTAACTGAATAACTGTATCCTGTCACCTGAGTTGTATCCTGTTACTTCCAAGTTGATCCTGATCCCGAGTTACAGCCTGTTACTTCCCCATTAAACCACATGACTATGGTCTGTGAGTTCTGTGTGGCCAGTGCAACGAATTATCGAACCCAGCAAAGAAGTAGAGTGCCGTAGGGAGGATGGCTAGTGTCAGAAAAGGTAAAAAAAAAGAATTGGAGAGTGGAGGTATGGCTGACCTCCAACTCCCGGGAACCAGCTTGGGGCTGACCTTGACTCTCACTCCTCCTCTCGAGGTCGGACAAGCCCTGATGCTACCAGCTTACACTCTCATTATCTCTACTTTAGTTTATTGGACAAAAATACACAGCAATTACTGATCAGGGAACAGAAACATCACCCACTTGACTTTCTAGCGATGATCAGGAACAGGGATTGACCAGCAACTGGAGATGTGAAGGAAGGAGGCAGGGCCAGGCCCCGTGGAGGGCGGGACTGTCTGCATATAGAAGGTGGCAGCTGGCTTCAAGATGCTCTGGTTACACTGGGCTCCAGAGGCCCCTCGACGACAGAGTCTAGCATCTCCTCTCTAGCCCTAACTCGGGAAGAGGAGCCAACTCTGGGCACGCATCCACTGACGTGACCTGGCAGGAAGCCCAGGCACATCACCTCTTGGGCACGTTCGGTGAGGAGCCGGCGCTGAGCAAATCCCACACAAACGCGGACGCTGGCTTAGAGAGAGCGGGTGGGCTGTGGTGCGTGCATATGGCTAGTGTTTCACTTTGGGCATTGTAAACCTGCACTGGATTCTAGATTGATCATTAAAGTCTGATAGGTCATTAGAGAAGGAAAAATCTGGCCTTTGAGACTGACAGTAAAATGGAAAGGAGTATTTGTAAAACTGAAGGCTGCTAAAAGAAGCAAGCTTAACCCATATGGATATCCCTCAAAGGTGAATTCACTGAGATGAGCTGCAAATGCCCTCTCCATGTGCAGGAGCAAGTCCTGAAGGCTCGTTCACCTTGCCAGAAAGCAACACTGGCCTGGAGCAAAGGAAGCCGGAGCAGCTAACCACCACTCTCTCCACAAGCCGGCCTTGCAGGAATCCACATGTGGGATGGGTCGCAGGCCTTGGAAGGAGCAGCGACAGAGAAACCGAAGCTGTCACTGAATTTGCATTTTTTGTTTTCAAAACCAGATCCTCAGGAAGTAACCCTAGCAGCCCAGGGCGTTTCTTCCCTATCACTTCTCCTTTATACTAGAGCAAGGGCCCTGCTCTGCTGTCCTAGAATCACGTGTGCAGGCAGGCTGTACCACCTACAAGGTTTACTGGTGGATGGTAAAAGGGTGTCACAAAATGTCACAGAGGTGGTATTAGTCTGACGGGATTGAGACCTACCAGCCCACACTGCTAGGCCCAGGAGATTAGCCTAAATTCAGGGTAGGGCTGGGGGGAATCCCGTGACGCAGGGGGTAGAAAGCCCATACTTTTCTCCCCTTCTCCAAACGCTGTGCTAGCTTGGCAGAATTCTACATGACGTAAAATATGTCTCTTCTCTGCCTCCTCCCTGGCGTCTGGTGACCCTGTGGCGTCTCAGCTGTTCTCCCGTGGCCATGAGCCTTCCCCTCGTGACCCCTCCCCCATCCAGGGCACCTGCCCCCTTGGATGTATCCTCTTCGTACCCGACGCCTGCAACAACGAAGAAAATAAATCTGACCCGACTAACTCAGGCTAACACGTGAGAGATGCTACCGGCGCCCTTCACTCGTAACAGGCGTTCACTGCGGGAAGCAGGAGCCGGTGAGTCCATGTGGATCGCAAATCAAGGGACCTCAGGCTCGGTAACACCAAGCAAAGTTTAAAAATTCAGGCAATGGGAAAGAGTTCATCACCACGGGTCTCGTGGCAGCAGACGGGGTCTCCTGGGTTAATGGTGGGTCCAGATACTCACACGCTTGGGCTGTTTGTAAACTGCTGTTTGTTAATAACAGACCTGCTGGTGGGCAGGTCTACAGAACCAGAAGGATGGTTGACCTTTAGGACGGTAGAAGCCAGGTCCTCAGAGTGCCAGGTCAGTGCTCACTTAGCAAAAACCTGGCAGCACAGACTATGCTTTTATGAATTGGTTCTCCAATTCCTATTCCCCTTACATCCGTCTTTCTCTAGGGCGTGTGCGATACTTGTATTACTTTACCATCCACCAGTAAACCTTGTAGGTGGTACAGCCTGCCTGCACACGTGATTCTAGGACAGCAGAGCAGGGCCCTTGCTCTAGTATAAAGGAGAAGTGATAGGGAAGAAACGCCCTGGGCTGCCAGGGTTACTTCCTGAGGATCTGGGTTTGAAAACAAAAAACGGCAGCACTCTTCACAGGCTGCGAGAGTTTACTACACCGAAACCTGAGAGCGCCAGAGCCGACAGGACTGCTTCATTTTTCCAGGTCTCACAAGTCTTCCGCCTTTGACAGCGGTCTTACCATTCTTCTCACTCGTTTTAGTGAAAAATATTCGCGGTTTCCTTCTCTGACAGGCTTTCTCCTTACACAGGTTCTGGCTTTCGCAGGTTTTACCATATTATGTGTGCACTATACGAAGCATAACATATGTAACATCTCACACACACACACACACACACACAAAATCTTCACTCCAACAAAAGCTGTGTGGAAGTGACACTCCCATCCATGATGTCACACTAAACCAGTGATCCATGGAGACAGCTAATGCCCTCTCTGCACAGCAGACTTCACAGTCACCCTTGGTTACTGGGAAGGAACAAAAGGTGGCCCCTGAGGTCAGATCCCAAGGGTCAAGAGTTAACCTGGCAAAGCAACAGACTGGGGAGGAAAGCTCTGGGCTAGAGGAAAGCTAAGCCCAGTTCCCAATTCTGTTATTCATTTTATGGGCGATTCTGGTAAGTTTGGAATTTTTACCATAAGCCAGAAAGAGGAATCCAAGTCTCACGGATCCACTAAGAAACCTACTATAATTAAGTTATGGTTGAAACGCTACCAGAAGGAAGGACAAGATATATTAACCCTGTGCTAATAGTCACAACACAACTCTGTCCTGGTCTGTACCTGTAGCCACTGTAGTGACAAACTTGGATCCAAAATGTCCATCTGGAGAGAGCTGACATATGTTGGGATGTTTGTTCTGGAAGTCTCCTGCGGTGATACATTCTTCTGAACTCAGGAAATAGGTGTCCTAAGACAAGAGAACCGGCACATCAAATTTTATGGCGTCATGTCAAAATACACATATATGACTCTCGACACCTGTGCTGAAACGGGATGTCATCAGCCATTCCGACATCCTCCAATAAACCACAAATGAGTACACCAGATGCACAGGCCCGTGGGCTGGCGCTGCCCTCTGAGGGCCGCAGGCTGCGAGGGGGAGGTGGGCTTTGCTCCTAGGATCAGCAGCCCCAGCCTTACTTTATGGGGAGAACTGTCTTGAAAATACAGCTCGGTCTGGACGCCAGGCCGAGTTGCTGAGGGAGCCCGTGCACAGGTCCACATGGCTGGTGATCAGGCTGCGGGCCAGCGACTTCGGCCTCCTCCTCACCTTATTTCGACTGTATCGGACCGTGCCCTTTCGGGTGTCTTCGGAGACGAGGTCTGTAAATATCCAGCCAACCTTAATCAAAAAGGAAAAATACCTTTAAGTGTGTCCCTGACACAGAAGACGAGTGTTTTCGGGCTTCTGCCCAGAGAGCCTAAGAGCACCTTTCTCAGCAAGAGCACAGCTACCAGCAAGCAGCCTCTCTGGAAGCCCGGCTTTTCTCCAGCTCCCTAGAAAGCGGTACTTAAAACAAAGGGAAGATAACAGAGATCCCACCCAGCTGCTCCCAGGAGCCCCGCGGCGGGGCTGGAAGGCAGCCTCTGAGGGGACAGCAGCTCAAAGCACCCTAAAGGCCACCCTGCTGCAGCGCCTGCACCTGTCCTGAGGTCTGCGATCACCGGCCACCTCCACCCACCAACCTCCTGAGCGTTCTGAATCCGAACCCCGATTAACCCTGCCGCGGCTGTGCAGTGGGTCCAGTCCCTCCCAGCAGAGCACTCTCTTCCCTGTTTCCTTTAAGGAGTGACTACAAGGTTGGAGGTTCATACATGAGACCTGGCGATCTGCTCCTGTAAAGATCACAGCCTATAGCTAAATAACAGACTGGCTTATACAGTAAAGACTGTGAGTAAAGAGCTCCTTTTAAAAATCATCTATAGGAGACCAAATGGTCAAAAACTACACCAAGGCAACGATGAGAAGGTAAGGGGGCAGGGAAACTAGAGCACTGGAAACGGTGCAACCAGAAGGGGAGGAATGAGAATGATGACACTTTGTGGAAATGTAACCAGTATCACTGAATAGTTTGTGTAGAAATTGCTGCACGGGAACCTAATCTGCGGTGTGAACTTCCACCTTAAACACAATACAATATTATTAAAAAATAAAAAGTTCCACTCTGTCACATGGGGTCGCTATGAGTCGGAATCGACTCAAGGACACCCAACAACCACCACAGGGCGCCCTGGCCTCCTCCAGTCCATCTCCTGCAGACACGACCTGGCCAAGGTGGAGATTTCTTTCCTTTAAAAACGCCCACGTGAACAAAAGAACCCAAGGAGGGTAGCAGCCGAGAAAAGGACTGAACGGATAACCATAATTAAGCAGGAAATAAAGCAGAACCCAACTCCAGCTGCAATGCGCAAGGGCTAAGGAGCCCATGTTTCGGACAAAGTCAGCTAAGTAACTTCAAGACCTTCTATCACAACTATGGTTACCATGAACTTTATAGTTTTCATGGTTCATAACAAACATGGGAAAAAATCGCACTAAGTTCTGTTGAAAAAAAACTTCCCGAAGTTGAACCAAAACACAACCCTAAATCAAGATTCTGACTCCTCATTAGAAACAACAAGACACATTTTCTGAAAAAGGTAAAACTGTAAAATAGGGGCGTGCTCCGTGACATTCCTAGGCTTAATCACATTCCCCGTTCCCCCCTTTATCTGTAGAGAGTATTTGTCACCGTCTAAATCGATTAGGAAAGAAAAGATAAATCTTAAAACGTACGTATCTCTTAAACTATTTGAACTTCTGAGGCTGAGCTGTTTTCCAATTCACAGGCAAACACACACCTGTGAAAACCTATCTTAAAGCTCCTGGGAACTCTATCACAGACATGGGACAAGCCAGGCCAACAGACTCAAAAGACAATCCCCCGTCTTCTAACTGCCCAGTGAACAGAGGAAGGCTCACGGGCTCAGAGGCCTACAGCATAACCTGGAAACCCGGAGGTGACTGAGGAGAAAGAACTGGGAGCTGCCAGCACACAGGACAGGAGGGGTGCACCGTGAGCAGGCGTGAGCCTCGGTGTCCATGCGGATCCAGCACAACACGAAGAAGGCTCCCGTGTACAGGGACGTGTGGGGTGGACGGGCCGAGACACATGCTGCGGCTCGGTCCTCTCCGGGCAAGGAAGCCCGGGCGTATTCCCACCGCTTCGCCCCGCCTTTGGAGTAGCCCTCACTTAACGTGGCTGACGGCTTTAAACATAACAGCTCCTGCGTTTGGATCATTTCTTTTATGCCCCAGGAACCGTTCTCATTTTACTTTAGGTCCGGAAAACATAAAAGCTATTGGCACCCAATAAACACAAGTGAGGCTTCAAGGTGCTGTGTCTGCGCCTGGCCCTGCACCGCCAGCCTGGACTGCCCCACCACAGAGCCCGGGCTCCCGCTCTCCAGGCCAGCTGACAAACGCCTCAATACCTTCCTCAGGCCAAGTTTGGCGGCGATTTCATCAACCACCTCGGCTTTCGGATCTTCGAGCAGCTCCAAGCTGTTCTGTGTGCCGATCTGAAAGGGGGATCACAGAGGGCGGATTTTAGAAGTTCGGGTGCAGAGAAGCAGCACTGCTTTGTTTCCTCACCTCGGGGCCGAAGAGCAGCACGGGGCTCCCACCTGCCAGAAAGGAGAGTTCCGGCAACAGAAAACCGAAGGGCAATCAAATAACACACAACCCAAACCCCTCCCGGCATTTCCCTTTCTCAGACTGCAACGCTCTTTCAGTCAAGACCCAAGGAGAGAGCGGGAAGAGGCCCTATTCAGACTGGTTCACGTCAGGGTTCTTTACTGAGTGTGTGCTTGTCTAGGACCAAGGAAGGCTTTCTACACCTTGCAGAAAAATTTCCTTCATTGGGAAATGAAGCTGTTTTCAAAACATCCTTGGAAAAGTAGTTCCATTTTATCCAGGTTTGGCTAGGTTAGGCAAGGTTAAAGCTGTACAGCAACTGTCCCCAGAAAACAGCCTTGGGAAATTCACTGGCGGCTCCTGCAGGGCCAGTGCTGAACCTTGTCGGCAGTCAAGATACCGTGTTAGACAGACAGCATGAACGTAAGGGAGAGACCAGTGCTACAGCCTAACAACCTGAAAGGCCCCAAAAGTCAATACCCCGATGTCAACAGAATGCTCGGCTCCGGGCAGCATGACGAGCCTGGGATACGCCTGCTCACATGCAGCGTGAACCCACACATGACACCAACTTCCTGGAGCTGACGTTTCCGAAAACTTTAATCTTCAGTTACACGTAGCTTCAGGGTCATTAATACGTACCATACCGAGCAGAAATCCCAGACGTAGGAATAGAAAAGTGAACGTAATCCCAAATTGAGTTATACTAATTGAGTATATGCTTGTAAATTAGTCCCATTCTAGCAAAGCAACAAAAGACCTTTGTTTGCTGGGCACTGCCCATAGGGAGATGATGAACACCTCTGGGGACAGGTCACATCTGAGGAGGACTACCTGCTTAATGACCGGGCAGCACGAGCTTCAGCTCCTGACCAGCTGGAGGTCACTGGAGGTCACCCGCTCCACCTCCGGGACCCCCGTCGGGAGCTTGGACGGTGCTGTTCTAGGGGTCTGGGTGCCAGGGCCGTCTGTCTCCCTTTTGCTCCTGGCTCCTTTAAGAGAACTGTTAACGCTCCTGTTCGATACCCTCTGCAGAACTGAGCTGGCGTCTTCCGTGCATCCACAGGGGCAGCTGGGTCACAGAGGCCCAGGGCGCCTCAGTCTGGGTCTCGCAGTAGGTCTCTATGGTCGCGTCCCTACTGACAGCTGGGGTCTCCTCTGAAAGGATGGGCCCGGAAACCCTACATGCGCTCTACGGAGATACGCAAAATGTCAAAGAGCATTAAACTACACTCCAATCCTGTCTAAACGAAGCCAGGGGAGGTGTGGCGTCTGTGCAGGAGCCACACGGAGCCCACTGCTCAAGAGCCCCGACAGCCACGCCCGGCGGCAGCAATGGAGAGGCGCTCCCACCCCAGGCCGGGCGTTTCCAAGGCGCCAGGGCATTCTGCGCAGCGAGGGAGGTGAGGAGAGTGTGCACAGCAGGGCCTGCTGACCCCAGGCGGGAAGCATGAGTGTTTGTGGGCGTGGTCTGCTTACATTAAAAAATAAACCTTAAGAAATCCGAAGTTTAATGTCAAAACCAAAAAACTGTTTAAAAGGGAGAGAGGAAGGGAATGTGAGGACGGGATACATCTTGTTTACAGGTCTGACTTCAGAACTGGGCCCGTTCTTTTCTTTTCCAACACTTTATTATGAAAAATTTCAAGCACAGACCACTTTAAGGATTTTACAGGGCACACCAAAACCCGCGTCCTAGATTCTGCCATTCACATATACTATTCTCTATCCATTTCTCAATGGGGAGCCCTGGTGGCACAGTGGTTAAGAGCTTGGCTGCTAACCAAAAGGTAAGCAGTTTGTGAATCCCCCAGCTGCTCCTTGGAAACCCTACGAGGCAGTTCCACTCTGTGCTATAGGGTCGCTATGATTTGGAATCAACTCAATGGCAATGGGTCATCCATCCCTCATGGAGTACACGGGTGGCACAAACAGTTACGCGCTCAGCGACTAACTGAGAGGTTGGCAGTTCAAACCCACTTGGTGGTTCACAAGAAAAAGGTGTGGCGATCTGCTTCTCTAACGATTACGGCCAAGAAAACCCTATAGGGCAGTTCTGCTCTGGCACATGTGGGGTCGCCATGAGTCAGAATCGACTAGATGGCAGCTGGTTTGGGTTTTTATTAATTATTCATCTCTCTATCCATCCCTCTATCCAAATCCATCTAATTTTTTTTGTTGCTGCATTTCTAAGTAAGCCGCAGACTTACACACCCGATGCCGTCGAGTCAGTTCCGACTCATAGCAACCCTACGGGACACAGCAGAACTGCCCCTTAGGGTTTCCACGAAGCGGCTGGTGGATTCAAACTGCCCACCTTTTGGTTAGCAGCTGAGCTCTTAACCCCTCCACCAACAGGGTTCCAGATGTAAGTACACTTACCCCTAAATACTGCAGCATAAATATCATTAACTAGCATTTAATGTTTGTTTACAGTTATTGCTTTTGTAAGATCTGTATATAACGAAATGTACCATGGAGTATGTCTGTAACTACAAAGCAAGCTAGTTGTGGCACAGCCATACAGAGATGACCCACCCCAGCGAGTAAACCACAGGCACTGAGCAGCCACCCTAGTGGGACACATCTGAGGACACCCCTGCCCCAAAATCTCACACCGTTTTGTCCTATTTTGGTGGTAGTTTTGGTATGGTTATTCTGAGACTGCGGGGTGTGCAGCATGAGATAAAGAAGTGAGTAGTCCTGTGACATTCTAATTCTATCCTTCCTGGTATAGTTGAGAAACAGGACTGTCACACAGAGGAGATACAGAAATATCAGAGAAGAGTCGAAGTAATTGTCTGACATTGTTGAGGCAGCTGACAAAACCGGAACAGCACACAGACGGTAGATAAGATAAAAATACTGCATCGGTATTAAATCTACTACCACTGATAAATGTACTGGTAAGGAAGAGAGCATACTTCTTCTCAGGAAATACCTGCTGGGTGTTTAGGGGCTGTTATCTTACTCTCCAATAATTCAGAAAATAAATATCTCATGTATGGAGACAGAGAGGGCGCAAATGATAATGCAAATGGGTGACATGCAATCTGAAAAGGGTGCCCACATGGCCGACAGACAAACACAGATGTCACTGAGTTTCAATTTCCAGTGTCAGCCCGTGTGTCCCTACCTGGGGGGGCTCATAGATGGCAGCCACCTCCGCCCTGATGCCAAGTGGGATGTCTCTGTGCTCCGTGTACCGCCCGTACAAGTACCCGAAATGCTGGTTCCCTGTCTTTCTCCAGAAGTCGAGGAAGCGGTCCGCCACGGTGTGGTTCTCAAACATGATGTTGTCCACATGCCTGTATTTCTGCAAAGCAGAGCAGCAAAGACGGCATCGAATGCACTCTACTCATCTGGTACGGAAGCACCTTTCACCTAGCTCTTAGGAACGGTTTAAGGATGTGCTCTGCCCTAAGATGCTTCAGAAGCAGGCTGCCCAGGCTGGCCGTTGCAGCCATGCTGTTGCTAATGAGCACCATGTAGGACCCATGCAGCGACCTGCAGATCCCGGGGGTGGGGGGAGGTGTGCGTGGGTCATCAACAAATAGATTCAAATTAATCTCACTGGGATTTCACCTAAAAGGTAGCTCTTCTCAATCTCTAGGGTAAAAAAATAAAGTACTGAAGGTTTCAAAACTAGTCAAGGAGACCACGGAATTCTCTAGGCTAAGGAGAGGAACCTAGAAGAGGCAGCGGCAGGGGAAGGAGCTGGACAGGTGCCCGCAGGTCCCAGGAGGGCCCGTCACCGTCCTGACTGGGGAGGAGACACCTACAGGGCTACAGCTCCACAGCGCCTCAAAAAGGCAGGGCCGCAACACTCAGCATTTACACCATTGTCGGGAAAATGCAGCTTCCACCCACCCAAGACTCCCGCCTCAAGAGCTAAAAAACCTTACAAATTACGCCCTCAGCATATCATCTCCACAAACGGCTCGGCCCATAGATCCAACGCTTTTCAAGCAACTGCTATGTGTTAAGGCCCTCTGCTCATGGCCATTCCTTCCCAAGGAAGGTCGCTTCCGGACACCTTCATTCCTCAGCCGTGAAATAAACCTGTGGTGTTATGGCTGTCGAGACACGATGCCAACCTCTCACCTGTCTGTTCAGGGTGATGGCACTGGGCTGGCACTTAGTGCAGATGCCGTTTGGCCATGGGAGGTGTCCCTCACAGCCTGATTTGATCTTGCAACTGATGTTCTCCAGGGCAACAAACTTCCCCCTGAGTGAGAGAGGCAGTTTACTGTGACATCAAAGTGGTGAAAGGTTGAGCAGGAGCCTTCCTGAGGTCGGGGATCGAGGCATGTGGTGGGAGCAGCAGGCTGCTAGGCGACGAGCTGCAGTTCTAGCACCTCAGACCGCACGGCCACATGCCACCTTCCCACAGACACGCAGCTTTTATTTTTACCACCTCTCACTAACACCGACGACTGTCTGATGTCTCCTATGAATCGTGCCCAGGAGAACTCGGAGAGCCTCTCCCTGTGCGTCACTCACTCACTAGCCACAGGATCGTGCTAGCCTAGGACTCACAGTCATGGAGCTCTCAGGAGAGATCGGCTCAGACAGTGAAGACTACTTTGCTCTGCGTTTGCTAAGTAAGAACTAGTTAGGAGACGGCCGCTGTGGAGCCGCGGGCCCTACACTGACCCTGGTGACCCCGTCACACAACACACCCATGACTCCATTTCACTTCCACAAGCCGGAGTACGTGCCGGAGTCACATCTGCACCCAGTGACACCCATGGGGTGCCCCAGGGAGACTGGCGAGTGAAGCTGCACCAGGACCCACCCCACGGACAAGGGCACAGCTTTCCCCACAGGTTAACTTTTTAAAAAGTTATTTTAGGATGCCAGGGGACCTGACGTTCTCCACAGGAATCTGCTGACTTGGGTGCAGCCACCACGTCCTCTCAGTGCTGACAGGAATTCTAAACACCAGCACGGAGCCCATGTTTCTGGTAAGGCGACATATGGCCCACAAAGGGGGCTGCACAGGCAAGGACTTGAAGTGGTTTGGAGAAGTCAAAATGCGTTCACCTGCCCCACTCTCATCCCCCATCGTCACCGTCCTCGGGAGCCACCCTCAAGTGCCCTCTGGGCCTCGGGCCCCCACCCCGCCCCGGCCCTGCTCTGTAACACTCTGCCTGGCCAAGCCTGTGGGCCACGACTGCTAAGGTGCCTGAAGCCCAAACCCACCGAAAAGGTTGCTGCTGCGGCCTCGTTATGGTGTGAAAATTAACCTGGAAAGATGCAGCACTCTAGGGGATGAGCATCAGCTCAGGCTGTGAAGGTGGTGATCTGAGACCACCACGGGCAGCTCAGCTTCTCTAAAGGGCAGGGGATGAGTTCAGACCCCAAAGACACGAGACAGGACAGGACCACTCGCCAGAGTGCCACTGGCATGGGACTGTCCGTTAACGCTCCGGGGACCTGTGTCCACACAGCCGCACTGCCCAGCACTACGCTCTCCTCCAGAACCAGGACAGGATCAACGCAGGCAACACATCAACGCAGGCAACACCCCATGCCCCACTGTGGTCTCCACTCGTCACGCACACACCCCCGGTGGCCACGACGGCACAGCCCGCGCCCAGGGTGCTCACTTGTCGGCCCCGCCGGTCAGCTTGCGGATGTAGGCATGGAAGGACATATGCTTCACTGGAGGCTCCAGATGGTTCAGGTAGTCCTCATCAAATGGCTGCCAAACGCAGAGACGGGCATGGTCATGCACCCGCCGGGCACGTGTGTCGGGAGGAGCTGTGGCGGGCGGCATGCGGCCTTGGCCAGCCAGGCCCCGGAGGGCAGAGGGGAAACGGTGCTGGGCTTTGACATGCATTCAGGGTCAGAAACAAGTTTCCCTTCGCATATCAGAGATCTTTCCAAGACTGAAATGAATCTCTATCTACCAAATACAGAATGCTCCAAGTAGAGCAAGTTCCAAGAGAATTTAGCAAAAAGAAAAGCCTCAAGATGAAGCGTGAGGAGACTGGTGGAGAAGCCAGGTCGGCCTTGCTGCTGGAAAGCCAGCGCTAACCAGTTACTGGTCAGCACTATCACGGTAACTCTCCATCTCACAGACAAATCAGCAGAGGAGACGTGAAGTTTCTGGGCAAAGTAAATCAGCACAGACTGACAGGCGGGCCCCACGGCAGCCTCTGGAAGGATTGTCTGGGAGCTGCTGGGAAGGCTGCCCCTCCCTCAAGCAACACAAACGCTCCAGCCATCCGTAATCCCCGAGAAGGTCACTCCCCTTCCTGCAGGCTCAACAGCGGGAATAAGGCCCAGAGCAGCAAACAGGTAAGTCCTCTGAGCCACTCCTGCTGTGGGGAGCTCTGCGGGAAGTACTTAGATGGTTCTGCCCAGCCGCCCGCAGCCCCTGGGGCCACATCGGACTCTCACCTCGAGTGGGACGCAGTGCACACATTTCCCCAAAGGGCCGTGGCGGCACCTGAGCAGAAAGAGACGCACAGTGATGAGCAGGCCTCCCTGATGTTCAAACCGTGCTTTCTACTTACCAAAGGGCCTCCCCGCCCACATGAGAGCATCCCAGACGATACACAGATGAGCGCTTTTCATGCTAGATAGTCTGGTGTTTGTTCTCACGTGTACTAGAAAAAACCGACCAGTGCGTCAGCCCTGTGACGTCATTATCTAAATGACACCAGGTAAAAGCGAAAGTGAGTGGACTAAAAATCAATGTTATCAAAATGTTTAGTAGATGGTAAGGAAGTTGATAGGTGGATATGGCAAGCACCCTGAGGGTGGGCCCTCACCGCTCAGATCTGGCAAGCATCCATTCACGTGCATTTGGTAAAAACCTGGAAACTCAACCCGTAAAACTTAAAAACAGAGATGTCCTGAGGAGAGGTGGCGGGGTTGGCAGGAGAGCCAGGCTGGCAGGCCCTCTGGGGCTCAGAGTACCTTTTAAACCAGGGTGGACTCTTCTCAGAGGCAAGTGAATGCTACATCTTCAGAGTAAAGATGGCCTTTGTGTCTCCTAAGAGGCAGCCTCTTACTGATAATATGTTGGAATTAAAACACACATACACACATACACACACACGCACACACGCACATACACACACACACTTAAAGATTCCTAACGAAGCGGCGAAGACAGGCCGTAGAGGGAGACAGCGCAGGGTCCCTGGGAGAGGGCGCAAATGGAGGAGGCATGCTGGCCAATGGCTGTGGCTGCGCGTTGGCCCTGTGCCAGCTGCAGCTGAACACCATTTGTGGCTCTTCGATCTAAGGCAGAGAAGTTGCTAATGCAGCATTTGGAAACCTAGTATTTCAGTGTCAGCGCCCCACCATCTTTACAGAGCTATGCAGTTCAAGACACCAGTGCAGATACAAGCCACCTTCCCTCTGAGCTTCACAGCACTGAGTGTGAACTCAGATGTTTCTAACTGGTTTCTCTAAAAAGAACTGCAAAAACCCTAAAATAAACAAATGTACACATGCATAAGCATTTTACATAATCCTAGGGGGATCTCAGAGAAGGAGCAGCACTAAAAGGACAGGAGACCCA